TATTTATTTTTTGGATCAGTTTTTTTTAAAATTAAAAATAATTTTAAATGAAATTTTTGAGGAAATTATTTAAAAATTAAAAAAATTTTAATTAAAAAAATAAAATTTTTTTTTTTTTTTTTTTTTTTTTTAATTTTGAGAAATTTCATTTTAAAATGAATTCTTATAAATCCTATTTAAAAAACCTAAAATTGCATTTAGAACTTAAAACAAAAATTATAAAAAAAAATAAAATATCATTATCTCATTTATAAATATATATACAATTTTTGAAAATTTATTGAGTCACCAAATAAATAATGGTTTTAATGAAACCACCAATTTAGGTTTTGTTCCAGTTCTTGACGTAGTCCAAACAAATTCATTTATTATTGGAATTGAATTAGTTGGTGTAAATAAAAATGATATTCAAATTGAAATTAAAGACTGAATATTCAAATCGAAATTAGAGATTCAAAGTTATATATTCAGGGTCAAAGAAAAGACAAACTTATAAAAATTGTTATTTGGTTTAATAGTTCAAGTGCTGATAGAGCATAATGCTATAAAGTGGTCAAATAAAGATAGTTTGGAAATAGGTTGAAAGGGAATGGAAAAGTGTGGCTCACTCTGCTTTCCAATTGCCATTTATCTAACCGATGAGTTTAGTGAAAAATAGAAAAATTTGGATGATAAAAAAAAAAATTTTGTATTTTTATTTATGATAAAGATAATTTTATAAATATAAATCTTTATCAAGAAGATAAACATTAACGATAGTTGAATTATTTTTATTTATTATTAGAATAAAGAAAAATAGACTATAGATTTTTTTTTTTTTTTTGAAATAAACAACACATTTCAGATAATTGTTGATTGTCACCAAAAATTAAAAAAATTATTTTTGAATTCATTTTCAGCGTTAATATGGGGTATTTTTAGCTTTTTTTTTTTTTTTAGGTTTTCAGGAAATATTTATATTTGATAAAAAAAAAAAAAAATTGAAAATTTTTTTCGAAAAAAATTTACTCTGGAGATTTTAGTTAAATCAATTTTTGCGTATTATCACACAAAACTTTTGTGGAACAACAACTAATAAAACATATAAAAAAAAATATACAAAAATAAATAAAAAATTATAGAAAAAAATAATAATAAAAAAAAAAAAATTATTAAGAAAAAAAATTAAAAGAGATCAAAAAAAAAAAAATATATAAAAAAAAAAATATATATAAAAAAAATATATAAAAAAAAAAAAAAGGGGATTAAATCTAAAATTTTTTTTTAAATTTTTTTTATAATTTTTTTTATTTTTTTTATTTTTTTTTTTCGTTTTTGCTCGCAGACAATCATTTCATATTGCAAATAAATAAATATATTATAACTTTTTTTTTTTATATGTAATATATTTTGCATATTACTTTAATTTTGTTTTATTTTATTTTATTTTTTTTATTTAAATAAAAAAATATAAAATAAATAAAATATAAAAATATAAAAATATAAAAAAATAATTTTTTTTTTTTAAAATTCACAAAATTAAAAAAATAATTAATTAAATAATAATATAACAAATAATATAGTATATAAATAATAATAATAAAATAATGTCAAATTCAAAATCATTAGTATTATTACAATCATTAACATGTGGTATATGTTCAAATTTATTTAAAGACCCAAATACATTGGTTCCATGTGGTCATACATTTTGTTTAGAGTGTTTAAAGAAAAGTTCAAATAGCGTTAAATGTATTCAATGTAAAACAGACTATCAAAATTATATACCAAACTTTCCATTAAAGCAAATGATTGAATGTTTAGATCAAAGTAATAATAATAATAATAATAGCAATAATAATAGTAATAATAATAATAATAACAATTCATCATCAGATTTAAATTCATCAGTTGGTTCAAATTCAAATAGTAATCATGGTTTAATTAGTTTTATTGAAGGTTTAACTGAAAGTGGTAATCGTCGTCTTAGCGGATTTAATGAAAATGGTCTTAAATTTTCAACTGGTGGTGATAGTGGTAATATTAGATACTGTGTAGATCATTATGAAGAGTATTATTCATTTTGTGAAGATTGCCAACAGCCAGTTTGTCCACGTTGTTTATTAACTTCACATAATAGACATGGTATGATTCCATTAACCAAAGAGTCAATATCCACCAAAATAAAAGAGTATAAACTGATCTCTGAACAATTAAAGAACAAGATGAGTCTTTACAAAGATAATATATCCTTATATCAAAAAGAAATTCAATTATTAGACAGTTCATTCGTTCAATGTAAACAAGCTATACAAATGATGATTTCAAATCTACACAAATCTTTAAAAACACGTGAAACTTATTTATTAAAGGAAATTGGTCAAATGCACTACAACAGTCACTTTGAGCTATCAGAGCGTTCAAATCTTTTAGAGAATGAAATTGGTGAAATGGAAAAACTAACATCACAAAACTCACGTTTCAACGATGCTACAGAAATTTTCAATAATCAAAATTTAAAGTTTGAATTTTTAGAACAGTTCCACATCAGTCGTACTCAATCGAAAAAGAATATGGCAACAGATCTCAAACCGTTATATAAAACCGACCTTTTATTTTATAAAGCAAATAATGACCGTGTTACAGAGATAATTTCAAATACGCTAGGTAACATCTCTGTATTGTCATTTTTAATCGATGATGCAGACAATGTTAATATTTGGGATGAACCAAAAGAAAATATTTTCTTGGAGCGTGTTCGTATCAACTCTAACGGTATTGAAGAATTCGAAGTAAAATATGGAACTTTAAACAAATTGATCGAACGTCTTACTCTTCCAGGTGTATATGATGAAAACTATGTTAATATTTTTTTGTTAACTTATCATAGTTTCTGCACTTCTAAAAAGCTTTTAAAGAAATTAATCGAGCGTTTTACAATACCTGAAGACTTTGAAGAGTATGGAATAAGCCAAATTCAAATCCACGAAATTCATATGAAGATTAGAAGTGTGATTATAAAATGGATCACCGAGTATGCTCCAGTTTTTGATCAAGATACAATTAATCTTTTCCAAAACTTCAATGGTAGAATGCAATCAGAATATACATCAATTATCGAAATTGAAAACTTAACAAACTATTATGAATCAGCCTCTGTAAATAATTCACAATCATCATCATCTGGTCAATTAGTTGTTCCACCTACCAACCCACAATATAGTCCAAATCAAATATATAATAGTTTAAATTTACCACCTTTAACACCAACCTCATCATCATCATCAAATACACCAACTTTAGCACCAATCATTACATCATTACAAAACCCACCTACAATACATTTTAATAATATAAATAATAATAACAATACAAGCAATAATAATAATAGTTTATTTAATAGTAATAATAACAATTGTAAAATACCAATAACCAATGGTGGATCATCACCAAATTCACCAGTTTTGAATATGAATTCATTATCTTTAATTAATCATTCAGATAATTTTGGAGAGTCACCATTATCATCACCAAGAGGAGGTTTCCCAAGTAATTCACCACGTTTATCTTTTGGATCAAGTACTGGTAAATATGGTTCAATTTCAGGTTCATCAAATCTTTCTGGAATGTTTAATACACCCAATTCACCAACCAATAGTTCCACTCCACAAGTTCTTCAATTTATGTCACCAACCAGCAAGTTTTTAATAAAGAGCCTCGAATTTAACGAAATTGACGAATTAGAAATCGCTAAACAATTAACCATAATGGAATATGATTATTTCAAGAGAATTAAGCCAATCGATTTATTGACATGTGTAGATCTTAAACATAAAACACCAAATATTACAAACATCATGGAAAGATTTAATAATATTTCTACATGGGTATCAACTACAGTTGTAAATGCACAACACTTGAAGGGTCGTGTTAAAATTATGACAAAGTTTATAAAGATTGCAGAGCATTTAAAAAATTTAAACAATTTCAACTCATTAACTGCCATCTTGGTCGCTATTCAACGTTCCACTGTCACTCGTAAAGAATTGGTCAAACAAACTGCTAAAACTTTTGCAGATTTAGAAAAAATCATGTCAAGTGATGAAGGCTATAAAGCATATCGTCAACGTTTAGCTCAATGTGTACCACCATGTATTCCATATGTTAGTGTTTATCTTCAAGATATCATGGATTTAGAGAAAAAGAATCCCTCAAATATTACAGTTCAAGTTACTCCATTTAAATCGATCGAGTATATTAATTTTACTCGTCGTTCAGTTATAAGCAAAGTAATTTTAGATTTAGTTAATAATCAACGTTTTGGATATCCTAATATTACACCGATTTCAACTATTCAAGAGTATTTAAATGTACATATTGATAGTGATTGTAATAATTAGGTAAAAAAAAAATAAAATAAAAAAAAAAATAAAAAAAAAAAAATAAAATAAAATAAAATAAAAATGGTATTATTATCATTATATGATTATTTTTTTTAAAAAAAAAAAAAAAAAAAAAAGATATAGTTTATTTTTATTTTTTTTTATTACTAATTTTTAACACACTAACTTTATTATAATTTAACTTGGAATCCCCTATCATTGTTAATTAATTTGACCGAGCATAAACCTATAATTGAGGGTTCTGGAATTGAGGTTTGATATTACTGCTATTACTATTATTATGGAATCTAGATATAAATCAAATAATTAATAGAAAAAAAAAATTAATTAATACTAAATTTAGTTTTTTATTTAATTATTATATTGTGATTTTCTATTTTTAATAAAAAAAATAGAAATAACCCCAATAATAAAATTTAATATGTTAAGTAAAATTGATAGTTATCATTTATATGGTTAGAAATATATTTATATACAAAACATGCATATAGCCCATAGTAACCATAATTAAAATGGAAGATGCATATTCTATGGGTATTGCAATAAATGTTTGGAGGGTACCCTAATAAAGATTCGAATCGAAATTAAGAGTTTTTAATTATTTATTTGTTATAATTTTATATTTAAATAAAAGAGAGGATTAAATATGGGTATTTTAGTAAATACAGAGACAATGTTGAAAAAAGTAATGCACAAATATAGAAATATATATTTAATTTTTTTTTTTTTTTATATTGTTAAAAATATATTTTTAAAGAAATACTATTTTTGCATAAATTTGGCTTTTTTTTATTATATTCGTTTGAATGGTAGTAAATGTTTTTTTTTTTTTTTGATGTGGGTTAGAAAAAGGGGTGTGGTTAAAATTACAGAGTGTTGTTAATAATAGTATGTAAAAGTGTGTGATAAAGAGATACAAATGTAAGTTTGTTAACGTGAGTTGTTATTGGAGTATGTTGTTAAGTGTTTGTGTGGGGTTGCTTTGTGGGTTTGAAGGAAAATCAAATGTTTAATTTATAATAAAAAAAAAATAATACCATATGGATATTTTATATATCTTTACTAAAAATTTTGATAAAATAGGTCTGTGTGTTATATATAAAATATAAATAAATACCAATATTATTTAAAAAAAAAAAAAATAAAAAAAAAAAAGAAAAAGGAAATTATGTTTAAAAAAAAAAAATAATTATTTTAAAATAATTTTTATATATATTTGGAAAATTTATAATAAAAATAATTATAATTAATCAAAATTGATAAAATAAACTTTTTTTTTTTTAAATTAACACACATTTACTTTTTTTTTTATAAAAATTTTATATAGTATATCAAAAGAATACTTACATAGCCCCACCAAACTAGTTTACCATATATTTTTAATCATTTTAAAGTGTTGTTTTTGAAAGTGTGTGTAAATATATATATTTGTACATAATTTTTTATATATAAATAAAAATTTTAATTTTTTTTTTTTTTTTTACCAAATTAATTTTGTTACTGTTTTATTTTTCCTATTTGTTTTTCTATTTTCTATATTAATAAAGCAAAGATATATATATAATAATAAAAATAAATAAAATAAAAAAATAATAATAAAAATAAAAATAAATTATAATTAGAAATTTTAAATTATTTCAAATGTTTTATATAAAATAAAAATTAGAAAAAAAAAATATTTAAAATGAATATTTTTAAATTAGTTTTAATAATTATATTTATAATAGTAAACTATAATAACGGCAATATTATATTAGCTCTAAATGACCCAAGCAAAGAAGTAGACTGTGGTGATATTTCGGGGTCCTCAAATCAGTTTTTCTCAGTATTTAATTTAGCAAAACAAATAACCATTAGTACACCTTTTACATCAACCATTGCAGGTGCCTCAATAAGCACCCCAAAAACATCATCCAATATAAATCAATCATGTGAATATTATAATAGTAAAAACACAGTTATAAATGCCCAAAAAACAACCCTGGGTGATCAAACTAAAGATATTATCAACTCTTTATCTGTACAACACTATTTGCTCTTTAATGGTTCAGTAACAGTTTCCAAAGGATCAAATATTAATATATCATGCAACGATTTAAATAATAATGAATGTTTTAAAACAAATATACTGGACTTATCAGGAAAATTATTAATTTCAAATAAGCTATCAAATGTTAATGTACAATCAGATATCAACATTTCTAAAACTGGTATACTTACCACCTCATCAAGCTCATCATTGGATTCATATCCAACCCAACCAAAAATAACATCACAGAACAATATAAATAACAATGGTGGTACCATACAAGTAAATCAACCCCTATCAATTACTACCAAACTACTTAATATAAATTCAAATGGAATATTTAATATAAATGCATTTTCATCAATTAACTCCCCAATTGATATTAAAGGTTCATCTCAACTTAATGTAAATTATGAATCCAATATTGCAAGCGATCTAAATGTATATGACAATTCAATTGTAAAAGTTCAAAATATGAAAGAAGGTGCTGTCTTAAGAGTTGAAAATATAAAACTAGATAACGAAAAATCATCTTTTAATTCAAATGGAGCAAACACTATAAGTGTTACAAATTTTTTATCAAATGGTTTACTAAATATTAACCAGAGTAATGTTCAAGTTAAATCAATGTTTAATATGGGAAGTTCCTCAGTTGTAAATATTTTAAATAATGGTGGATTCTTTTCAAACAACAATATTAATATTAGTGGTTCCTTCAATATGGAAAATGGCTTTTTCAGTTCCTACATTGGGGATTTCTTATTAAAAGATAACTCAGTTTTCACAACTAAAAGCTCAAACATTAACATAAACTCCGCTTTTTCATCACATGGGGATTCTTTATTTGAAAATAACAACTGTAATAATTTTGCTATTTTATCATTGGATTTCAAAATGAATGATAATTCAAAACTAAAATTTGGAAACTGTAAAGAAATACAAATAGAATCCATTAGCTCTGTATTGTCAAACAATGCAGAGTTTCATATTTTGCAAAAGTCCAAGGTTATGGCAAATAGTCCTTTTACTTTAAATGACCAATCCAAACTATTAATCAATGAAAACTCTCAACACACCCAAAGCAATAAAGATATACAACTAAATAACCAATCAACTCTTTCAATAAGCAAGAACTCAATTCTAATGGCTACCGATAATGTATTATTTAATCTATTTGGGACCTCAAATATCAATGTCGATGGATCATCAGTTTTAAATCTTTCAAAGAATAGTATACTTACTTTTAATGATACTTCAACATTGTCATTGAAAAATAGCTCATCAATAAGCTTAATTGGTGGAAAAATTTTATTAAATAAAAACTCATCGATTTCATCTTCAAGCAGTGATATTGATATTGCAAATGGAAGTATAATGCAAATAGATGGAATATCAATTTTAGATAATTCAAAATTCCAAGTAGACTCTTCATATATTGTTATTAATGGTGAAATCTCTTTAGTAAACAACTCATTAGCACAAATTTTCTCTGGTGAATTCTCAATAACAGAAAGTGGCTCAATTAAAATAAATGGTTCAACTTTAAGAAACCACAATAATTTAGAAAATTCTGGTTCAATTCATTTAGAGGGTTTTTCTACATCTTTTAGTAATGACGGTGTCGTTACAATAAAAGGTAGTGGAAAAATTATTTATGGTGACAATGAAGACCATGTTATTTCCAATAATAACTTATGGATTTTTTCAAATGAACAAGGAAATAATATAAAGGTAATTATTCTCTATTTTTATATTGTAAAAACTAATTATTTAAAATATTTACTAAAATTTTTTTTTTTTAAATAAAAAGAAATTTTATAAATAATGGTACCATTGATTTCTCATCATCAGTTAATTTTAATACATTTAATGCATCATTAAGCAGTATCATTAAACTTTCAAACTCTACAGTATCAGTAAATAGTTCATGGGTCCATAATGGTGAAATTAAAGGAATTGGTGTAATAAACTCTAATGTATTTTCATCTTCAAATTCATCTTTGGGTGATAAAGAAAATGTATCAAAAATTACAATTAATGGGTCTCTTGTTCAAAAAATAGAATCGGAATTTCATATAGTAATAAATAGCAATCAAACTGAAGGTGAGGACTATACCATTATTAATATTACTGAAAACTTTAACCCAAATGTTGATGGTAAAGAAATAAACAACACAAACTCAGACTCTAATAATAATACTACAAGCAGTGACAATCTAGTAAAATCGGGTAATACTAAAAGGTCATTATTATCCTATTTATTATCCTCATCGTCATCAGACAACCCAACCCCAACACCATCACCATCAAACTTAACATTGTTATCAAACTCTACATCCTCGTCAGAATTAGAAGAATCTGAAGATGAGGATTTATCTGGTAAACAAAACAAAACAATTAATATTTATTTAAAAAACAACTCTACCAGCGGAAATATTACATTTTTGAAATGTGCAAACCAACCATTCCAACAAGACCTTCATTTTAAATTAAAACTACATACATTTGATCCAATCAGCAACTCTTATAAAAGAATACAAGATAAATGTAAATACAGACTAGAGCAAAGCCGATCAACGTTAAGTGTATTAATATCTCCAACCAAAACATGCGAAGTAGTTGTCGATTCTGAAGGAAATCCTGTATTGGATTCTTCTGGAGAACCCATTGTTAAAGTAAATAATAACGATAGTATAATATCATCAAATAGTAATACCAAAGTGATAGTTATTGCAATAGTTTTATCGGTGGTTGGTGCAACTTTGGTAGTGGGTATGGTAATTTTCAAACAAAGAAAGATATGCAATTTTATAAAAATAAAAAAAGAATCGTTTGCATTATTTAGGAAGATGAGTTATTAATAATACAAAGTTTATACAAATATAATATAGTTATTTATTTAAAGAAAATAAAAAATAAAAAAAAAAAAAACCGAATAAATATTTTTTTTTGTAAATAATAAAAATTTTGCATATAGCATTTTATTTTATTTTTTGTAATTTAAAGAGGATCAAAATGTATAAAGACTCAGATGGAATAGTATTTTCAAGAACGTCAACCTATTAAAATTTAAAAGAAAAATATTAATATATAAATCGTTTTAAAATATTTTTTTAAAAAATAAATATAAAATATTTTTTAAAGTAATAAATCAGATGGTGTTGCATGGAAAAATAAATGAATCTTCAATTATGTTCAGTCAACTTCTATAATTATTTGTTATCATCATCTAAATTACTTTAAATCTTTATTTGTATATTTTTTTTTTTTTTTGTTTATAAGTATAAAATATTTACCTTTTGCTTGTTGCTGTTTGAAAAAAAAAAAAGTTTTTTTGAGAATATTTATATAAAAAAAAAACACGTAAAAAAAAAAAAGTTTTTTTTTTGCAATTTTTTCATTTTTTTTTAAAATTTTTTTTTTTTTTTCAATAACGTCACGTAACGTATATTTATTGTAATGAATACAAACCAAGAAAATGAAAGTAATATAACAGAGAAGGATATTAATAAAGCTGTACCCATTGAAGTGTTAGAAAGTAGCAGCACTATTGAAAATAAAGATAGTAATAAAGATAATAAAATAACAAAAGAGAATAATTCAAATAAAAAAAACAACAACAACAACAATGGAAATAAACAAAAGCAAGATCCTAAAGAAAAAAGTGGTGCATCAGATTCATTTAAAAGAATAAATTATTTATATCAGGCTTCAAATTTAATGCTAAATGGTACAAACAATCAACCTTTATCAAATTTTTATTCTAGGGTATTAAAAAAAGTTTCACAAAAACAAGTTATTCAAATTAGCCCATCAATTAAAAGAACTATATGCAAGAAATGCTCACTACTTTTGGTACCTGGTCATACTTCTACTGTTAGAATTCAAGGTAAATTATTAATTCAAAATACTTTTAATCACATGATAAATATTAATCAACTCACTATTTTTTTTTTACCTTATTATATTTAGATTCTCGTGAGTCTCATGCTGTTGTTACTTGTTGTAATTGTAAAACAGTTAAAAGATTTAATTCAAATAAGAAAAAAAATAGAGTTATTAAACAACAAAAACAGCAATTATAATAAAATAATTTTGTAAATAGTATAAAAAATCATTATTTTATTTTTTTTAATAAATAAATAAATAAATAAATAAAAATTAAAGTGTATCTATAAATATAATATTTCGATATTTCCCATTTTTCATATTTTTTCTTAATACAGCGAGTGGGGGTGTGTTAAATATATCTTTTTTTTTTTATTTCTTTTTTTTTATTTTTTTTTTATATATTTTTTTTTTTAAAATTTATTTTTTTTGAAATTTTTTTTTTTTTCTTTAAATTAAATAATTTGTAAATTAAAAATATTTAATAATTTTAAAATTAATATCTATTTATTTTTTTAATAAAAATAATATTGTATAAATTTCATAATAGTTAAAGTAGTATTATTATTAATAATAGTTGTTATAATAAATTATAAACAATAATAAATACTTATAAAATGGTAAGATGGGTTAGGTTCTGGGATGTGCCATTATATAGAAGGTTGGAGACTATGGCAGTTTTTATTTATGCTATGGTTTTACCAGTTTGTTTAATAATGGCGTTTAATTTATTGGTTATACCACTGTTTTGGGGTTTAGCGGTGCCTTATTTAATTTGGATATTTTATATTGATACAAAACAAGAAAAAGGTGGTCGTAGATTAGACTGGGTAAGAAATTCAATCTTGTGGAGATATTTTAGAGACTATTTTCCAATATCATTGGTAGTATCATCAAAGTATGACCCAAAGAAAAACTATATTTTCGCATACCATCCACATGGAATTATTAGCATAGGTGCTTTTTGTAATTTCGCAACAAACGCAAATCATATTGATCAAAAATTCCCTGGCTTAAAAATTCATTTATTAACTTTAGAATCAAATTTCAAAGTAAGTTAAATTTGAAATTTAAATACGATCGAAGAGTTATTAATAATGGTTTTTATTTTATTTATAGATCCCATTTTTAAGAGAAGTTTTAATGAGTTTTGGTATGTCATCAGTTGCAAAGAAATCATGCGAAAATATTTTAAATAGTGGACCAGGGTCATCAATTTGTTTAGTTGTTGGCGGGGCTGAGGAGTCGTTGGATGCAAGACCAGGTTTAAACGAACTCACATTAAAGAAAAGAAAAGGTTTTGTAAAATTAGCTTTAGTAAATGGTGCATCATTGGTTCCAGTTTACTCATTTGGTGAGAATGATATTTATGACCAGGTACCAAATCCAAGGGGTTCACTAATTAGAAAAGTTCAAACTAAAATCAAAAATTTGACCGGTATTGCACCACCATTAATTATGGGAAGAGGTATATTTAATTATGATTTCGGTTTTCTCCCAGTAAGACACAAGATTACCACAGTGGGTAGGTTTATAATCTATTTAAGTAAAAGTATTCAACAGTAAACAATAGATATTAATATTTTAAATTACTAAAATTACTATAGTCGGAGAAGCAATTGATATTCCAAAAGTAACAAATCCAACAAATGAAGTAATCGATCATTACCACGAGGTCTACGTCGAAGCACTCCAAAAACTATTTGATAAATATAAAGATAAAATAGATAAAGAGACTGGAGATTTAAAGATTCATTAAATAATAAAAAATTAAATTAAATAATAAATGTTACAATATAATATAACGAATAGAATTATTTAAATAATCTAATATATAAATTTTTTTATATAAATAATTTATTATTATTAAATATTACTTTTTTTTTTTTTTTAATTAAACAAAGATTGGATGATCATCATCGGTTTTAAAAGTTTGTTCGGATGCTGTTAAAATTTCCATTAAATCTAAATATTCTTTGTTTGTGTGTTGGGTTTCCGAAATTTTAGAGCAGGTTAATTCATAGTTGAGATCAAAGAGTGCAGTAGAGATATTATTTCTTTCGCCTTTACCAAAACCGTTTGTACTACCATTAGTTGAGCCTTGTTGATTTTGTTGTGGGACTTGTAAATTGGAGTTTTGGTTTTGTTGGGATGATGGTTGTTGTGGTGTAGTATTACTATTACTATTTTGATTACTTTCATCGAAATAATTTACAAATTGTTTAAATGAATCAAAGTTAAGTGATTTTTGGAAATGGTTTGGAATTGATGTACTGAGGACGATACTTTCCCTTGATTTTGCTAAAACAGGAAGTTTCATTGGTGGTGTATCAATAGAGTCTTCGCTGGCCGATGAAGGTGCAGTAGTTGTAATAATGGTAAATGTATCATTGTTTCTGTTGATTTCACTTTCTTTGGCGCCTGAAAGTAATTTCTTAAGATCTGGGAAATCACCAGTTAATGTTGGTACTTGACATAAAATTTCAATAACTCTATCTTGATCAATAAGTTCACTAGAGATGGTTGATGAGGTGGAGGTGGTGGTAATGGTCTCTATGGTTTCAGTAACAGATTCGGTAGTTTTGGTGACAGAGTTTGGAGAGATGACGGTAGTTGTGGTTAAAGTTGTAACAATTTCTTGATCCAAGTCGCTGTAAAGATGCTTTTGAGTGTTTGAAATTACTAAACCACCTCTGTTGAAATCAAATGTAAGATATCTACATTGATTGTTGTTAGTAAAACGTTGATTTAAAGAGGTGCTAATGTAGTTTTCTAATTCTTGCCACTTAAATAATTTGGAAACTAATAATAAATAACTTGCAATAGCTAAATTAATTGAACGATTTAAACGTAATGGTAGATTTGGTGATTGTTGGTTTTGAAGTTGGAAAATCATTGGAATGGAATATTGGAGTTCTTTACCTCTACCTCTAAATAATAATATAACTAATGTTTTATATAATGCTATAATGTTTTCTGGTTGATTTGTTTTATTTGCAAACTCGTTAATAATCGAATTTCTAATCATTGCTGAATTATTATTTAAATACTCTTCAACACCATCATTTGAAAATATGACACTATTTGGTTTTAATAATAATTAAATAGGTTAATATTTTAATTTTAATAAACCATATAAATTTAAACTAATAATTATATTTACCCTCCTTGAATTAATTGATCAAATTTAATACCTGGGATTAAAAATGATTGAATGGTTTCTTGAATGAATTTTCTGGTATTATTGTTTGTTGATGGTTCATTTGAAAGATCAATTAATTTTCTTGTGAGTTCATTTATGGCCATTGGATTTGGTGAAATAAGGTCATTAAGATTTGATGAAACTTGTGCTACGCATTGAATAAGATTTACAGAGAAGAGGTCGATTAAATTTTGTTGTGTATTTGGTTTAATAATATCTCTAAGTGTATTCATAATTTGGTTCATAATTTCGAATTTCTTTGGTGTTGTTTTTGATTTTTTACCAATTGCACCAATTGAATCGATAATAGAATTTTGTAATTTTAATTGTTCATCTACATCTGGTAAATGTTTGGTTGAAATCTATTTATTAACAAAAAAAAACCAAATTAATAAAAATTTTTATAAAGATGTGTTTAAAAATAATATTATTACTTACTTCAAGTGATCTAATTAAAAGTTTTAGTAATGATGTAATAACCATATTGATTGATGCAGTTGAATCATTTACAATGGAGACGGCTGTACGAACAATTTCTTTGGTTACTGATGGTGAATGGTCTAATTCTAAATGTCTGAGGAAACTTGTAAGCATAATTGTATAGTGTTGTGGTTTAATAGATTGTGAAATTGATGTTAAAGCATGAACTGAAAAAGTTTCGACGTTCCACTTTTGATGTGAATCTAAATAGCTAAAATTTTTAAAAAAATGGGGGTTAGAAAAATGTTATTTTTTCATAGTGTTTTTATTATATATAAATTATAAATATTTACTTTACAACAGTTGTGACCAATGAATCTACAGTAATATTATCAACTCTTCTTGCTAAATCTCTAAGGCATTCAGTTGCCAATGCTCTAACATTAGTAATACCAGATTCTAATGAATCATCAACATTTAGGTTTCTATCGGATATATTTCTAGAAAAAAATATAATAGAGTACAGTTAGTATGCAACCAATATCAGATTTTTTTAATATGTTTTTTTTAATCTTACGGTGAAGGAATTTGATCTTTATATTGCATATTATCTAAAATTGTATAAATGATATCTGTATGTTTGGTTATAAAAGTATCTAAATCATCAACTAAATGTGAAATTGAAACGTATGCAGTAACACCTTTCAAACCCTCGCCTCTAATCTTTCTTCTTGTCGAATCATCAGTATTCATATTCTTTGCCATATTAATAAAATATTTAATGAATTCATCGATTTCTGGTGGAATTTGTGAGGCATCATCTTGAACAGATGCAAATCTAATAAACTATAAATTAAGAGATTTTGTTAAATAAAACAGTACTGCAGTTGTGTCTTGTAGTTATAATGTATACTTACTGTTTCGGTTGCTTCGATTTGTAAATGTGGGTGTTCATTTTGATTTAATAATAATTTCATTAATCTTGTTGCATTTCCTGAAAATAATGATAAATGATTTCTACAACCTATAATAAGTTCTCTAATAATTGCTGCACATGTTTCTACATAGCTATTTTTTATTGATCGAGTATAAATCTGGTGTTAGTTTTTTTTGAAACTTTATTTGTTAAATTACATATAATATTTACCTTAATCTTTTTTTATTCAAATTGTTTTGGGCTTTATTTTCGATATATGGGCCTACTTTTTGAAGTTGTTCTGGATTCATTTCACAGAAATAAGTAAGTTTGCTTATATTACCCAATTGCATTTCGCCATTTGGTTGTGATGGAAAAATAGTTTTAACTATTTTCTTATATTTTTTAGTTTTACCAAATGCCATTTTTATTTTATTTAAATTTATAGCTATATGTTATAAATAAGAAAAACAAATAATAAATATATAAATAATAAAATAAATAAATAATAAATAATAAATGAAATCAAAATGGTGTGATATTTTAAACAAAATTTAAAAAAAAAAAAAAAATTAAAAAAAAAATAAAAAAAATAAAAAAAAAAAAAAAAAATTATTTTTTTATTTTTTTATTTTTTAGTTTAATTATTATAACTTTTTAAATTATAAATTATGCATTAAAATACACCAGTATAAAAAACACATTAATAATTAATATATAAGTAATATAAATATAAATTTCATAATAATAATGAGTAACGATAAGATTAAATTGGCATCAACAGCTGTTGTTTTATTAAAATGGGGAAATATAAATGGATCAAGTTTAAAGAAGCTGGATTTATTAAATAAGAAACCATTGGAAAAATTTGATTATAGAGTTATGATGGTAAAGAGATCGAATAAAATTAAATTTTTCCCATCAGCACATGTATTTCCAGGAGGTGCAGTAGATCAACACGATTTCAAACCAGAATGGAGCAATATATTTGAAAAAGGATTAAATGGATCACCCATCAAAAATCTACCAATTAAAGTATCTGCATTAAGAGAGGTTTTAGAGGAAACTAATTTCTTTTTAGATAAGAATAGGCAATTAATGGACGAGAAAAATTTATCAGAAATTGAAAGTCTTCAAAAGAATTTAATGGATAGAGAGGCATCAGCAAAAACAAATTTCCTTTTTGATTTTTTAAACGAAAAAAAAGAAAAAGATAATATTGTTGTATCATTAAATAATCTTTATCAATGGGCACGTTGGGTTACACCAGATTTAGGACCAAAGCAAACTCATAGATTCGATACTTATTTCTATTTAAACCCACTTTACGAATACCCAGAATTATGCAAAATTGATGGCACTGAAAATACTCAATTGGATTGGTTCTCACCAGACGAAGCTTTGGAGGAACATAGACTTGGAAATATTAGTTTACCACCACCCACTTGGTTTACCTTTCAACAGTTATCAAAATTATATACCTTGGACGAAGTTATTAATGTAGCAAAGCAAAGAGAAGAAGCCGAAATACTTTATGAACCAAAAATGGTTGAAGGAATAACAATTAAAAAGTTTGACTATTATGAAAGAAATCAAGTTTTAAATGGAGATAGTTTATTTGAAACTGGTAAAGAAGGTCCATCAAAAAATAGAATCATTATTCGTAGTAGATCTGGTTCTTTAACCGATCAATATTCTTGGTATTATGAGTATTTAAATAATATTCCAAACTCCATTGATAGACAATACAATGGTTGTAAAACTAATTTACCTTCAAAATTATAATAATAATAAATAAATAATAATATAAAAATAAAAAATAAATTATAATAAAATAGTAATATTATTTTATTTTAATAATTATAAAAAAAAAAAGTTTTAAAAGAATTTAAATCGATATAAAAAAGTATTGGTATTGCAAAAAATATTAATCTAAATTCTTTTTTTCTTGTGTGTGGTAACTACTAAATTAATTTGATGGTTTTTTTGTAATATATACTTCAGTTTTGTAGTGAATGTTAAATTCTTTACCATCTTTGGTGGATTCGAGGCTGTTTAAGGCGGCTCTCATTTTTTCTAATAAAGCATCTCTTTTTTCAGTAGGTAAAACGGCAATAAAGCTAATTGATTGCATGGCCATGATTGTTTTTTCAGTGTTGGTTAAATGTTGATAGTTGAAAGTTTTTTTCTCTAGTACTGGATTAATAAGTTTTTTAAACTCTTCATTTGATTCATTATCTTTGAAAATGTTCATCCATTCATAAGATTGGCTGAATGGAGATGTCATGAGTTCTGATTTTTGACCGTTGCCACCTCTAAATAAAGAAAGGAGTGGTTGGAATTCACTGTTGGCTTCATTATCAAAAACATTCCACATTAAAAATAAAATACCATTTGGTTTTAATACACGTGAAATTTCTTTAATACTTTCAGCATTTGCAAACCAATGAAAAGCTTGAACTGAGAAGATGACATCAACTGAATTATCTTGAGCTGGGATCGAAGTAGAAAAGCCTTCTAGTACCTTATAGTCTAATTCTTTTTGTTCAGTTTTAATATTTTCTAAAATATCTCTACAAGTATCTCTAAATTCACCTGATGGTTCAACACATGTAATGTTTTTGTAGCCTGCTTGTGCAATTAATGATGAGAATTTACCAGTGCCAGCTGCAAGGTCAATAATGACAGAGTCTTTTGAAAGATTTAATTCATTTTCAATGAATTTTATAGCTTCGATAGGATAACTTGGACGTGCATTAGAGTATTTAAAAGCTACATCTTTATCGTGATATGCATAGGCATTTGGATGTAATGGTTGATTTGCTGATGATGCCATGTTATTAGTTTATATATTAAATAAATTAAAAAAAAAAAAAAAAGAATTTTATAGTTTTTAAAAATCTAAAAAAAAAAAAAAAAAAATTAATAAAAAAAAAAAATAAATAAAATATAACCCTTTTTTTTAAAATATAAAATTTTATTCATTTTAATTTTTTTATGTGATAAGGTTACACGATTGCTTGTTGATTTTTATTGCCTCTTAAAGTCTTAAAAAGTCTTTTTGAGATGGTGTTGTTATTAGAACTATTAGTTGAACTATTATCATCATTTAAATTGTTTGCACTTGAATTGTTTGGTGATAAAGTCATCGGTGATGGAGTTGTATTTGAAGAATTACCTGATAGAATTGGGCTTGTGTTATTTACATCGTCACTATTAAAGTTTGGATGAAGCATTGGTGAGTTGTTTGATGATTGGTTTGGAGATGAGAAAATTGAAATTCTACTTTTAGACCCTCTAACTGGCATTGTTAATGACATTGCTTTCGATTTAGAAGGAGATTGTAACACCACAGTAATATCGGCTTTTGGTTTTTGATTAAGTTCAGCTTTTTCTTTTTCTTTTTGTTCTTTACTTTTTTCTTTTCTTTCCATTCTTTCTTTTTGCTTTTGTTCTTTTTCTTTTTTTCTTTTTTCTTTTTCTTGTCTTCTTAAATCTTTTTCTTTTTCTTTATTAATTTGATCACTTTGTTTTATTGTTGATTCGCTTAGTGTTGAAACTGTAGTTGTGGTTGTGGTATCGGTTTCGATAGATATATCATTTTGTGGAAGAACAATCGTTGGGATTTCTTTAAGTGGTGATATGTTTTCTAAATTATCTTGATTATTATAATCAATACCAATGTTATTATTAATTGATTCCAACATTAAGTTTGGTTGTTTGAAATCATTATTTTGCTCTTGTAGTATTGTTGGTGAGTAAATTTGATTATTTATTTCTATTTTCTCTTCCACAACCTCATTTGATATGTTATTGGTTTCTTCCTCATGCTCTTCATCATGTTCTTTATTTAATTCATCATCAGGGTTTGAAATACATTCGTGGTTATTTGTTGTTGCTAATAATATGGGTTGGGATTGGTTTGTTGTTGGAGGTACAATACTTGTTGGATTAGTTGATAGTATAGAATTATCATTTTCAGGATTAATAGATGACTTTCTTTTCGAGGATACTGATGATGAAGATGAAGACCTTCTTTTTGAAGTTGGTGTTTTTTCAACGGCTGGTGATTCATTATTTGATTCATTCTCCTCTTTGATTTTTGATTTTGATTTTTCTCTTGATATTTTTTCTTTTGAAGTGCTTTTATGTCTCGATGATCTTTTAGATCTTCTTCTCTTTTGAACAACCATAATATCTCCATTAATATATGGAATACCCATCGATAATGTAATTAGGGTCTTTGATTTTCTACTTGCTTTATATGGGGTTCTCCACTTTAAATAATATTCGCACCATAATTGTACTCCTTGAGAATTTGGAATTAGAACGTTTGCATTGTCATAGTTTTTTCTAACAACAAAATTATCATGTGGAACATCTTCATGTGGTGGGGCGGCATATAAAGGATTTAATAATGAAGAGTTTTTGGATGCAGTTATTAAAAGAGTCCATAGAGATTCGGTTTCATTCATTACCTTATTTGCCTGTCTTTCTTTTTCGCTATCATATAAAAATGTACCAAATATATTTGAGTTTAAGTGATGTAAAATTACAGATAAGAATCTATCAGAGAATTCGAAGCTTGTTGGAAATTGTTTAGTAAGTTGCCAAACACAATCAATGAATTGCAAAAATATTGGGGATGTTTGTTTTGAGGGTAATGATGTTAATGAAGAGTTTCTTGTCATAAATTTATGGCCAAAAGACAACCATTCTTTACAAATTAAAATAATAAATCCCTTTAATGTTCTATAAAATGGATCTGCTAACAATTGAACCAATGATGTAATTTGTGTTGCTCTATCCCAGCCATCTATACAATGAATTAATACTGACAAACCCAATGAATGGACACAATTTAGTATACTCTTAGAGGTTGATAATAATTTACTAATTTGTGCTAACCATCCAGTATTTGACACTTCGGACCAACTTTTCTTTTCGTTCCAATTTCGAATTACCTTATAAAGTTTAGATGCAGATTCTCTTAGCTCGTGTATGTTTTGTAAATAAACAGTCTCTAATTGACAATGGGTATAATTAGAGATATCCTCGGAGTGATTGCCTCCTGTTGAGTTGACTATACTTGATTTTGAACGAATATCATATATATATAGGGGTTGGGTAGAGTTTGGAGAGTTTGAGGTGGGTGTACATTTTCTAATGGCCTGGACTAACAATTCATCTTCTTCGCATCTGTGTTTACCAAAGCCATTTACAGGTTGGCTTGATCTTGATAATGTTGCATGGGTGAATCTATGACGCCATGTGCAAACAGGGATTCTACTTTTATTTCTAAAGTTTGCAGATTTATTTAAAAGATAGTCTGATATTGAGAATGGAATCATTAATGATTGGGGATAGGTAGCACATAATTCATATTTTTGATTAATCTTTGATAACCTCCATTCTCCACCAGGGCATATTAAACCCTGTCTTGTATACTCTTCAACCGGATCGTATAGTTGCCATCCGTTAACGGTTTGTAATCCTTTATATGGGGTGTAACTATATGTAAACATACTCTTTTCATTATCTGGGAACGCTAATTTACTCATTAGTTCGAAAGCATCATTTCCCTTGTCATTTAAAGGTAAACAAAATCTTGATAGATTGAAATCCTTACACCTAATTTCTAATATAAGAGCTCTTTCGGAAATCCCATTAGAATAAAAAGATGATGACTGTGAATTACTGATACTATTTCCATTTGAAAGAGAGTTGTTAATATTGCCATTTGAATCATTTAAACCAACTGGTGTTGAAATAGATTTTAATAACTGTTTATGATTAATACTATTGGTACTGTTACTTGTTTTTAAATCTTTTGATCTATTTGGAGATGGTGGTAGATCAAATGATGAGTTGGTTGAAGATGGTTGAGTAGGGGATATTATTGATTTGATATTATCATTTATGTTTGTTGGATTTGTTTCATTATTACTATTTGTTCTTTTATGTGAATTTGTCGATTGGTTTAGAGGGTTTTGTGTATTATTAGTGCTATTATTTAAAGTATTGCTACCTTCTGAATTTAAATCTGAATTATCGTGGTATTTTACAGTTACATGGCCTTTTAATTTTTTTATTTTAATAATAAAACAATTTGGAATTGATAAGACCATTTGCTAATATTTTTTAAAAAAAAATAATTAATAAATATAACTAATAAATAAATAATGAAAAAAAAATACATACATGTGTTGTATCGTCTATAAAAAATAATTGGTAATTGGTTTGATATAATGTTCCAATTCTATGATTTGTGCTGATTAATGATAAATTTACAACATTTCTTGTTGACATCAATAATTGCTCGCCTGGTAACAAAGTAAAATTTTCGACTATTGATGGTTGTGGTCGATCATAATTAGGTTCCTAAATAATTTAATAATAGAAAAAATGTCAGTGAGATTCTTTAAAATATTTTAAAATTTATTATTTATATTTACATCATCAAAACTATAGTCTAGATCTTGAGTTTCGTAATCCTCTGTTATTGTTATGATATCACATTTTGAAACTGAATGATTTAAATTATGTACAAAAACAGTTGACTGTAATAAAGGTCCTAATGCATTATTTGTATCATCTTCCATTTCTATTCCTTATTAAAAATTATTATATATATTGATTGTTATTATTTTTATATATTTATTGTGATTGTTTTCTGGTGTCGATATTTTAATAAATATATTAATGAAGAAAAAAAAATACAGAACGCGCAAAAGAACAAAAAAATAATATAAATAATAAAAATAATTTAAAATTATTACTATTATTTTATTACTAGTATTCTATATATTATTGCATTAAAATACAAAGTGACGTTGTGAAAAAAGAAAACCAGTATATTAATTATAATTTTTAAAAATTGAAAAAAAAAATATATAAAAAAGTATATAGTAATTAGAGTTTATGTATTCTGTGTATTATTAAAAAACAAATTTAAATAATTATTAAAATAAATAAACAAATTGTAATTTGATTATATTAATTTATTTATATATGTATATAAAATTAGATATATATAAAATGATACACAAATGCACGCAAAATAGTAATATAGATAAATAAATAATTAAATAAATATATATGAATATAAATGTAGGTTATTAAATTAATTATTGAACAGATAATGGGATTTATATACACTATAAATATATTTTAAAAAAAAATTAATTTTAAATTTTAAATTAAAAATATTTTTTATAATTAAGTATATAGCACAAATATAATATATACATATATTAAAATAAATTTTTACTATATTATTATTATTTTTATTTAAAAAAAATTAATAAAAAAAAAAAATTTTAATCAAATAAAAATTTTTTTTTTTTGTACTTATATATATATATATATTTATTGAGTGTGGGTGTGGTTGTGTGTTTTTATGTGAGTGTTTGTGTAAAATTTTATCCCTCTTTAAAGAGGGATACCCACACCCACACCCATAAACAAAAAAAAAAAAAAAATTTCTATCAAAGTGTTGGGTCAATTTCAAAAAAATGATATGTTTATAATAATAGGATTAAAACAATTATTTGAATCCAAAAAAAAATTAAACAAAATAGAATATAACCACTCTAAGCACAACACAACTTGATTGAATAACTTAACTTTTTGAAAAAAATAAAAAAAGAAAATATAATAAAATTAAAAAAAAAAAAGGAATAAAGAAAAAAAAAAAAAAAAAAGAAAAAAAAAAAATTAAAAAAAGAATAAAAGAAAAAAGAAAAAGTAAATGTTTATTTTTAGATTTTCAAGTTATATTATTTTATAGTTGCTGAAATAATAATTGTGTTGAAATTTTAATTTATTATACTAAAAAAAAAAAAAAATTATATAATAATTTTTAAAAAAAAAAAAAAAATTTTAATTTTTTTAAAAAATTTAATTTTTTTAATAATCTATAATATATGATTCTATATAGCTTTTATAATAAAATATAAATTCAAATATGTATATATATAATTTTATATCTAAATTCGTATCTAACAAAATTTAAATACTAAAAGAGGATATATACTTATTGACAAATGAAAGTAATACCCCAAAGTTTTTTATATTATAAAAAAAATAATATTTTATTTATTAATTTCAATATCTCCAACCAGTAATTTTCAAAATGATTTTAAATATTCTATTATTATTTAAAATTATTATGAATTATTAAAGCGATTAAACATTTTAAAACTGTTTACTTGTTGTAGAAAAAATAAAATATGAGCTATTCTGGTGGAATTAAAATAATTTAGAATAAAACTAAACAACACTGTTTAGATTAGTGATTTAAATAAGATAAAATAAAATTTGTATTATTTAAATCTTTAATCTATTACTAATTAAATTTTAGAAAAAGAGGTTTTTATTTTGATTTAAAAATGAATAAAAAATAAAAATGAAACATTTAAATCACAAGCAAATAATAAAAAACTATAATATTTTATTCTAGCTATTAAAATCAATTTACTTCATTATAAAATAACAACATTTTAAAATTTTAAAATAAAAAATAAAATGAATATAAAAAATAAGATATTTTTAATTCTTTCTTTTTTAGCTTTGAATTTATTATATGTAAATTGTTATGATATGGTTTATGATAAATGTGAATGGACAACATGCCCCAAACTAAACTGTAATCAAAATGAAATAGTTGAAGTTCCAAAAGGTGAATGTTGTGGTAAATGTAAAAGCATTTGTTTAGAATTGTGTAAAGAAACAAAGTGTCCCGTTGGTTATAATAAAGCAAAAGTATTGGGTTCATGTTGTGAGATTTGTATAGAACATAGAGAAGTAAACTATGATAATATTGAAAAAAAAACTAACAATAATAATAATAATATTAACAATAATAATAACAAGTTAAATAATAATAATAATAATATTAACAAAAATAATGGTAGTAGCAGTAGTATTATAAAAAATAATGGTAGTAGCAGTAGTATTTTAAAAAATAATGGTACCAGTAGTAATATAAAAAATAATGGTAGTAGTATTAATGAAAAAAACAATGGTAGTAGTATTAATGAAAAAAACAATGGTAGCAGCAGTAATATTATAAAAAATAATGATTTAAAATATAAAATTAACAATACTGATGAAAATGAAAAATATAAAGAAAGAGAAACAAAAAAAAATTAATATTTAATATAAATAAAAAAAAAAAAAAACTTTTAAATTTTTAAATACTTAAACGTAGTTATTAAATTTTAATTTTTCTTTTTTTATAATATTTTATTAAACATATAAATAAACAAACTTATACAGATCTAAATTGAAAAAAATATCATTTCCATATAAAAAATTATTTCCTTTATTAGAAAGTGTTAAAAAATAAATAAAAAAAAATTTTAAAAAAATATTTATTATTATTTATTTTTTTTATTTTTTTTTTTTATAATTATTTTTTTATAAATTGCCATTATATTTAACAAATAATAACATTATTTATATCTTTTTAACATAAAATAATAAAAAATAATATGAATAATAAATATTTTATTTTAATTTTTTTATCAATATTTTTAATATTTAATTTTGTAAGTGCAAATACTGAGGATGCAAGTTTTTTAAAGTGTGACCCAAAATATTGCTTAAAGGTTAAATGTGGTCCAAAACAAACTACATGTAAAAAATCCGCCTGCTGTACAGGTTGTAAACCAGATTGTGATACTGTTAAGTGTGCCAAAGTATGTGCTGAAGACGAAACCCCAATTATTGATGATTGTTCGGTGAGTATATATAAAAACTATTCATATATAAAATAGAACAGATATTAATATTTAATAAAAAAAGTGTTGCCCATCAGATTGTAAAAAAAACTGTGATAATGTCGAATGCCCATTAATAAAGTGTGCACCAGGATATATTTCAAAGAAGGTTGGATGCTGTAATACATGTGTTCAAAACTGTTCTAAACTCATATGTGATTGGCCTCTCTGTCGTGATAATGCAAAACCAGAAACAAAGCCAGGAAATTGTTGCCCATCGTGTCCTAACTAATAATTTACAGTCAAATAGATTTATAATAAATATTTATTAGAAAATTATATTTTTTATTCCACTGTCTATTAAATTTAAACTATATTTCAAAAACAATAAATATAAAATATAAAAAATGAAAAAAGAAACTTAAAATATTTTTTCTAATTATTTGTTTATTTATTTATTTTTTTTTTTGATTTTTTTTTTTCTTTTTTTTTTTTTTTT